GGAAGGGGAGAAGGGAGAAGCTGGTGGAGGAGGGGGAGAAGCTGATGGAGAAGGAAGAAGGGGAGAAGAAGGGGGAGAAGAAGGGGAGAAGCTGGTAGAGAATGAGGAAGGGGAAAAGGGAGAAGCTGGTAGAGAAATGAGAAGCTGGTGGAGGAGGAAGGGGAGAAGGGAGAAGGTGGTGGAGGGGGGAGAAGCTAGTGGAAAAGAGGAGGGAGAGAAGCTGGTGGAGAAGGAGGAAGGGAAGAAGGGAGAAGCTGGTGGAGAAGAAAGGGGAGNCTTCTCCACCACCTTCTCCCCTCCTTTTCTCCCCTACCTCTTCTCAAACAGCTTCTCCCCCTCCTTCACCACCTTTTCTCTCCTTTCTTCCCCCTTCCTCCTTGTCTCCACAGCTTTTCCCCCTTTCCTCACTAGCTTCTCCCTCTTCCTCCACCAGCGTTCTCCCTTCCTCCACCAGTTTCTTCCTTTCTTCCCTATCTCATTCTCCACCAGCTATCATCCCCGCCTCCTCTCCACCAAGCCTCTCCCTTCTCCCCCTCCTCCACCAAGTCTCCCTTCCCTCCTCCCTCCCCCCTCCTTCTCCCCCTCCTTTCCACCGAGCTCTCTCCCTCCTCCTTCTCCACAGCTTCTCCCCTACCTACCTTCTCCCACCACCTTCTCCTTTCTCTCCCCTTTCCTCCTTCTCCACAGCTCTCCTTCTCCCCTCCTCCTCTACCAGTCCATTCTCCCCCTCCTTCTCCCCTCCTGCCTTCTCCACCATCTTCTCCCCCTCTCCTTCTCCACCACCTTCTGGCCCTTCGCCTCCTCCACCAAGCTTCTCCCTCTCCACCAGCTTCTCTCTTCTCCCTCCCTACCTTTCTGCTACCAGTTTCTCCCCTCCTCCGTCTCCAGCCTAGCTTCTCCCCCTCTCACACCAGCTTCTCCTTCTCCACTACTAGATACTTTACTCTACAACTTCGTCGACCATCCCCCTTCCCCTCCCCTCCACTCCCTTCACTGCCCTTCTTCGCTTACCCTGTTACAGAACTATCAGCAGTATCTTCAACCGCGATGCTGTCGATTTAACGACTACGTTGCTAATTCATTTAAGGAACAATCCCTATTGGTCGATTTAACGACACGTTTGTAATTCATGTAAGAAATGATCCTATTGGTCGTTAACGACATGTGCTATATTCATTTAAAGACGCGTCGGTCGATTACAACACGTCGGTTAATCTTCTTTCGACACGCTTGCAATTCGAATTACAACACGTCATTAATTCTTTCGACATGTGGCAATTCGAATTACAACACGTAGTTAATTTTTTCGACGTGTTGCTATTCGAATTACAACGTGTCGAAAGAATTAACGACGTGTGCACGTTTAACCATTTTTTTATAATCGATTATTTATTCTCATAATCGAGCGCTTAGTCGGTTGCTGCATACGTCTGACTTTCGATTATAATTGATTATCGGGACATCACTAATTATGACGTTGTACATACATGCTTCAGGATGACTACGTCAGTGGGAGGGTGGCCTGGGATGCGACACAGCTGGAGAGCAGTAAGAGCAGCCTCATATTCGAGATTATTGAGCAGGAGAAGACAGTGACTAAGACATCCACCCTAGTTGCTGTCCCACTATCGAGACGTCGGCACTGACTATAACAAGTAACAGCATCTATCCAGGGGCTCCACTTAATATTTTAAGTATTTTAGGATGTTTTCATTGAGTATGTGATCAAAATGCAAGGACTTTTTGCACAAACTCTGTCTTATTGTGTTCACATGTTATTGTTGAACCATTCAGATTGCAATAAATACACAATTATTGTCGATTTCACTGTTTAGAATCATTTGTACAAAATTAGTTTGCTGTGATCCATTTTTTTGACAAGATACTATGTGCTGTGTGCATCGTTTAATCTACTTAGTAAACTGGCAGAGCAATTTTCTTCTAGCAATACAATCTGCCCACAGTCCTAGTCCCACAGGCTGAAGCCACATACGCCCATGCTTCCTATGCCAGCAGTGGCTTGTTGTTTTAATTAGCACATGGCTGACGAATGTTTAACTGTATTTCAATTTACGTTGTCCTCATCCTTCAGGACTTTCCTCGAGAAGGTGTCGCGTGTTACAGTGGAGGACCTGGCTCGAGTGGGTTTAGAGCACATCGCACCGCTGTTTGACACTACACGATCCAAGTGTGTTATTTGCGTTAATCCAACACGTGTCCCAGAAGTGCAAAAAGCTTTCAAGAGGTAACAGTGATTAAAATTCATTGCAGCAGCACAATATTTTAGAGGCCTGTGTGATGTGGTTATAGAAGCTGCTCCAGGCAGTGGTATGTCGATAACCTGACCATGAGTATTTAATGTAATAAGTGGTGTGTGTTTACTCTTTTAAACGTTTGCTATTACAGGTTTAACCGGGACCTAACCATTCTAAAGACCATCGAGGAAGGCTTTCTCTGTGAGATGTAACGCTCCTACTACGTGATTCAAAGCTCTCTCTAGGAGATGGAATGCTTCCTATGTGTCGTGTCATGCCTCATTGTCTGTAGCTTCTTCATCATTTTAATGCCTTTCTCTCTAGTGTGGTGCAATGTTTAATCTGTCAAATAGCAATCTGCAATATACAAGACTCTCAATGAGATGTGAGTCTTCATCTGAATTGACTGAGGTTCAGTAGTAATCTAGAAATTTGGTGGCCATGTACAGTTCAGCTGCATTAGTGAATAATTAAGATAGCACCTTGAAATACATTAGTATACTTCCGTAATAAGTTAGTCATAAGCTGAGTATGGACATCTAGGGGACAGTATAGTTAAGGACTTGTATTGCAGATGCCTAGTTGTGAACATCTTTTGTTGATACATACTAACTGCTAATGACTAGTCTATCCCGTGTTATATTTATTATTTACAGGTTATTGTAATCTGAAATCGAAATCGAATGTAATAAGCAAGGTTATACAAGTGTAAAATGGTTTTTGATCTATATAAACTACCAGAAATTACTGGAAGAAGCAACACAAGTGGAAATATTTTGAAGTGATGAAAATGGTATGAGACGTGTCAGGCTCTAACATGATGGCATATACCGTTTCTTTATCTGTTATGATACCTGAACCTTTCTTATAATCATTTCTCGTGACAAATCAGCAAAGATGGCAAATGCAGTTTGTTCATGAAACTTCGACAAATATATTGCTACAAATAGATATATGTATTGTAAAATGTGACCAAGGAAAACGTAGAATAAATTATTTCACTATTCTGCATTACCTGAGTATCATATATTTGCCGAGTAACTATTAGCTGTGTATGTATGTATGTATGTATGTATGTATGTATGTATGTATGTATGTATGTATGTATGTATGTATGTATGTATGTATGTATGTATGTATGTATGTATGTATGTATGTAAGCGCATCTGTCCTTTTAAGAAAATTGTTTTGGAATCTTTCCAATTTTCTAGAAATTTAGTTACATTGTATAATGCGCACGAGTCGTTTATAGCCATGTCAACGATTCCATTCTTACTGCATGTGCTATAGTAATACAATGGCTTGCGCTTTACAGTTATGTGAAAGAAGCAATTATGTTTGTCACACGTCAACCTGTTTGTTTACATTTACTTTTCCTATACACAAAGTTATATGCATCGGCTGTTGCAGTGTAACTGTTCTGTACTATATACGAAATAAGAATGTAAAAGTAACAGTACCAAATAATGCCCCTGCCATAGTAAGCAGTAGCATTAACTGTGATTTGGGATGTAGATCGGAAGTTAAGTTGGTTAGTTTTTTTTTATTATGGCTTTACTTAACAATAAGCCAAAGTCAATTCAATACATCAACCCTAAATTATTAAATTATTCGAATCACAACATTTGATGTATCTTATTAAATATATCAAAATATTTACTTGCACAATTGAAGACAGAAAAACACTGCTGCACACACGCGACAATATATGCACAACGCAAGTACGCACATGTGCGATCGTGTATATGTGTGTACATATAATATGATATCAATGATGAACCGTACATACATATATCAACACGATATATATATATATATGTCGTATGTTGACATAGGTATCTCTCTCGCTATATGTGCGTGCGTGCTTGCGATGTGCGTGCGTGTGTGCGTGCGTGCTTGCGATGTGCGTGCTTGCGATGTACGTGCGTACGTGCGTGCGATGTACGTGCGTGCGTGAGTGCGTGCTTGCGATGTGCGTGCTTGCGATGTACGTGCGTGCGTGCGTGCTTGCGATGTGCGTGCTTGCGATGTGCGTGCGTGCGTGCGCGCGTGCGTGCGTGCGTCAGTGCGATGTGCGTGCGTGCGTGCCTGGTTGTGTGTGTGAGCGTGGCGTGCGTGCGTGCGATGTGCGTGCTTGCGATATCCTGCGTGCGTGGTACGTGCGTTGCGGTGTGCGAGTGCGTGCGTGCGTGCGTGGCGTGCTTGCGATGTGCGTGGGCGTGCTTGCGATGTGTGTGCCCGTGTGTGCGTGCTTGCGATGTGCGTAGCGTGCGTGCGTGTGTGTGTGAAAAGTGCGTGCGTGTGGCGTGGCGTGCGTGTGCGTGTCGTGTGTTGCTGTGAGCGTGCGTGGCGTGCTTGCGTGCGATGTGCGTGCGTGCTTGCCATGTGCGTACGTGCTTGCCATGTGCGTGCGTGCGTGCGTGCGTGCTTGCGATTGTGCGTGGTGTGTGCGTGCTTGCAACTGTGCGTGCGTGCGTACGTGCTTGCGATGTGGATGCGTGCGTGCTTGGCGATGTGCCTGCGTGGTGCGATATTGCGTGCGTGCGTTGCGATGTGCACGTTGTATGTGTGTGAATGCGTGCGTGTGCTGCTTGCGCAGTGGCGTGCGTGCGTACTTGCGTGCGTGCGTGCGATGTGCGTGCGTACGTGCGTGCGATGTACGTGGCGTGCGTGCGTGCTTGGCGATGTGCGTGCGTGCGGTGCTTGCGTGTGATGTGCGTGCTTGGCGATGTGCGTGCGTACGTGCGTGCGATGTACGTCCGTGCGTGCGTGCTTGCGATGTGCGTGCGTGCGTGCTTGCGTGTGATGTGCGTGCTTGCGATGTGCGTGCGTGCGTTCATGCGTGCTTGCGATCTGCGTGCGTGCGTGCTTGCGAGTGTGCGTGCGTGCATGCATGCGATGTGCGTGCGCGCGTGCGTGCTTGCATGCGATGTGGCGTGCTTGCGTGGCGTGCTTGCGATGTGTGTTCGTGCGTTCTTGCGTGCGTGGCTTGCGATGTGCTTGCGTGCGTGCGATGTGCGTGGCCGTGCTTGCGATGTGACGTGCGTGCGTGGCTTGCGATGTGGCGTACGTGCGTGCGTGCGTGCTTGGGATGTACGTGCGTGCGTGCGTGCGTGTGTGCGTGTGTGCGTGCGTGCTTGCGATGTGCGTGGCGTGCGTGCTTGCGATGTGCCGTACTGCGTGGCGTGCGTGCTTGGATGTACGTGCGTTGCGTGCGTGCGTGCGTGCGTGTGTGCGTGCGTGCGTGCTTGGCGATGTGCGTGCGTGGGTGCGTGTTGCGAGTGCGTGCGTCGTGGTGCTTGCCTGTGCGATTGTGCGTGCGTGCGTGCGTGCGTGCTTGCGATGTTCGTGCGTGCTTGCGATGTGCCGTGCGTGGTGCGTGCGTGCGCGCGTGTGTGCGTGCGTGTTGCGATGTCGTGCGTGCGTGCATGATTGGATGTAGTGCGTGCGTGGCGTGGGTTGCGATGTGCGTGCGTGCGTGCGTGGCGATGTGCGTGCGTGTGTGTGCGTGCGTGTGTGTGTGCGCGTGCGTGCGTGCGTGCGTGGGCGTGCTGCGGCGTGCGTGCGTGCGTGCTATGCGATGTGCGTGCGTGCGTGTGTGCGTTGTGCGTGCGTGCTTGCTTGCGATGTGCGTGCGTGCGTGCTTGCGATGTGCGTGTGTGTGGTGTGTGTGTGTGTTTGTGGTGTGTGTGTGTGTGTGTGTGTGTGTGTGCGTGAGTGCGTGCTTGCGATGTGCGTGCGTGCGTGCGCATGTGCGTGCGTGCGTGCGATGTGCGTGCGTGCGTGCGATGTGCGTGCGCGTGCGTGCGTGCTTGCGATGTACGTGCGTGCGTGCGTGCTTTGCGATGTGCCGTGCGTGCGATTGCGTGCGTGCGTGCGTGCTTGCGATGTACGATGCGTGGCGTGCGTGCTTGCGAATGTGGCGTGCTTGCGATGTGGCGTGTGTGCTTGCGATGAGCGTGCGTGCGTGCTTGGCGATGTGCGCAATGCTGTGCGTGATCGCAAGCAGCACACACGCACGCACATCGCAAGCACACACGCACACGCAGCCAGCACATCGCAAGGGCACGGCACGCACGCGACGCACGCACATCGCAAGCACGCACGACCACGCACATCGCAAAGCACGCACGCAACGCACGGCACGCACAATCGCAAAGCAACGCACGCGCACTCACGCACATCGCAAGCACGCACGCGACGCACGCACGACACATCGCAAGCACGGCAGCGACAACGTCACGCACATCGCAAGCACCCACGGCACGCACGCACGCACATCGCAAGCACGCCGCGACGCACCACATCGCAAGCACGCAACAGGCACGCACATCGCAAGCACGCCACGCGACGCAAGCACGCACGCAAGCACGCACGCACGCACATCGCAAGCCACGCACGCATTGCAAGCACGCAAGCACGCACGCACGCAGCCATCGCAAGCACGTACGCATGCACCGCACGCCACGCCATCGCAGCACGCTGCGCACTCACGCACGCACGCACATCGCACGCAGCACACACGAACACACACACACACGTACACGCGTGCGTGCGTGCGCGTGCGTGCTTGCGATGTGCGTGCGTGCGTGCGTGCGTGCGTGCGTGCGTGTTGGCGATGTGCGTTGCGTGCGTGCGTGCTTGCGATGTGCGTGCGTGGCGTGCGATACTGCGTGGCGTGCGTGCGTGCGTGAGTGCGATGTGCGTGCGTGCGTGCGTGCGTGGCGTGCGTGTGTGTGTGTGTGCGTGTGTGCGTGCGTGCGTGCTTGCGATGTGCGTGCGTGGCGTGCTTGCGTGTGCGTGCGTGCGTTCGTGGCGTGCCGTGCGTGCGTGCGTGCATGGCGCTACGTGTTCGCGATGTGCGTGTGTGCGTGCTTGCGTGCTGGCGATGTGCGTGGCGTGCGTGCTTGCGATGTGCGTGCGTGCGTGCGTCGGCTGCTTGCGATGTGCGTGCGTGTGTTGCGTGCGTGGCGTGCGTGCGAATGTGCGTCGCTGCGTGCGTGCGTGCTATGCGATGTGCGTGTGTCGCGATATGCTTGCGTGCGTGCCATGTGCGTGCGTGCCTGCGATATGTGCAATGCGTGCGTCACTCGTGCGTGCGTGCGATATGTGCGTGCGGCTGCATTGTGCGTGGCGTGCGATGTGCGTATGTATGCCATTTTTAACCTCATAACCTTAAAAAGATTTGTCTTCAAAGTTCAGTGGCAGTGGACTATATCGAAGGAGCTCGACAAATTTGGTTTATCAAAGTAGACAGATAAAACATGCACTGCCGGTTACAGTAGCAAAGCTTCTATTTTTCCAGTAATGACAGAAACGCAAGAAGGTATAGGCTTCCAGTTATTTTTTATTTATATTTACATTAAAAAAAATTTGTTCTGTCAAAGTATGAGAATTTATTCGATTCGCAAGATATGCGCATATAAGTTTTAGTCCCGGAGTTTAATGTGTAAAAACACCGCGGTATTTTATCATAACTCAGTAGAGGCGCTAGCATCGCTCGCTGGGCAAAGACGATTGGCATATGATTGGCACTGTGACGATTCAGTCGATTGGTCCGATCAGCGCAGTAGCGTCCTCTAGACTGTACCGCGTCCCACCTCTCGGCCCATTCGAGTAATCGAGGTGGGAGGCGAGTACCAGTCTATAGCGTTTCTATATATTTTTTACTTTTGATTGCAAGGTTGACAGCGGAGACTTACGTACGCCACGTACGTATCTGGCCTGGTACACATGGAGGAAATAAGCAGCGTGTCTGTGATTTTGCGCCGCAATATATTTTCTAGGCGCACAGAGAAAACATTCAATTTTACGGAATCAGCAGGATTCCGAGGAAAGTGAGTATAGACAGTCTATAGAGTAGGCCTATAAGTATAGAGTATACTATAGACTAGATACAATAATGTAACCCAAACCCAAGAGGATAGGGGGTGCTAGGGGGATAGGGCCTATCCTCTTGGGTTTGGGTTACATTATTGTATCTAACTATAGACTAGTAATAGTATAGAATAGAGCAGGGGCGTAAATCCCGGGGGAATGCATCCCCCCCCCCGCTCTTGAAGGAGGGGGAATGGCCTGTACAAATATCCCCCCCTGAGATTCAAAACACAAAAAAGAAAAAAAAGAATAGCCAAAAAGGTTGGTTGCAAACATAAGCAAAAACAGCGTCGAAATTGTGAGAAAATTGCAAATTCTTTAACTGTGTTTTAAATACATGTATTATTACTATAGACTATAGTATTAGTAACCTAACTGTGTACGCTCTCTGAAAAGTCATGAAAGGTGTTTTGAATCATAACTTGTAGGATTGAGTCTAGGGTTGAGATAGTGTCATCAGACATGAGAATATGGCCCACACTATGCCTCAGATTGCAGGAAAATGGCTTAAATATTTCAAAATTTTCTGGGGGGGGATACCCCCAGACCCCCCTAGCACTCCCATGCCTACGGCACGCGCGCCTGCCTGCGGCATCCAATGTTAATTTCGCCCCCGGCTATCGCCGATCATCCCCCCACTCCTCGGTACGGATTTACGCCCCTGACTAGAGGGTTCCGCGAATTTTCAAATTACCCACAATGCAATGCCACCAGCCATGACGGTTCCAGAAACCAGTTCAGGCATGGTACAAGTACATTGACTGAGCAACGCACCTCTGCTCATTTTATTCGCCTAGCAAATCCATCACAACGCCGCTCTCCTGCTGAGATTGAGAACTATGTAGCGTAACACATCGGCTTTGCTCTCACAACCATGCTCTCTATCCTTGACCCGTGTTGTCAACTGCAGCAATCGGTATCAGAGAGAGCCACACAGCTTTTTTAGGCTGCCTAGCATGATCACAACACAAGGTAAAGTGACGAGAGACGCAGGCGGACCACAGACGCTTGGAGCATTTTCAATAAAAAAGCAATGCTTGCAAAGCAAAACAAGAAATGTATTTACTACCAATGTCTTAATGTTTCTCTACTCTCTTTCGCCTAGTATTGCCGATAATTACCTGTAAATGCCGGTCAAATGCTCCTCTGTAACACACAGGTACACCGCACGCACGGCGCACGTCGCTACAGTACACATTTACACTTATATACATATATCGCCGGCATCCAGTAGGCAGCTGTTTGAGTGGGGGTGGTGATTTCTTTTGCACATGCATGCAGCATAGCTAGTCTACATAAAATGGCACCAAGGCAACATGTGAACAGAATTCACCAAGCCCAGCTTTTCAATTACAGTGTGCTGACATGATGCCTGTCCCATATTCTCTCATTGTGACCCATGCACGGATAGAGAGATGGTATAATCAGAGACTGGGAGTGCATAACATGTACGTGCTCAGATAACGTAGATATCCAGACTCTCACTGTTCACATGATAGATGCAGACTGATACACCACTAACCCAACCGCAGAACAGTCGATCGTAGGCATCCAGGCTTTTGTGGTTCTGAAAGTCCTTGAGAGTATAAAATGGTCTCGGCTAGAATGTTAGGTAGTCAATTCACGAGATCCTAATAAGTACGTGATGGGTACAAGTTGTGGTCTTCGCTCCATTCTCGTACGGGTGTCGATTCCCAATGCACGCAATTTTCTCGAGATAGCATGCTTTGGCTACGTTGTCTAGTGAATCAAAGTACTTGTCCATACTATGTACACTTCAGACAGTTGGCAAATGTGCATACACCAGATGTTATAAAACGCTGCGTTTGATAGCTATATATGCAGTAAAATCGGAAAAATTTCTGAACACTCGTGATGTAAACAAACTCAAGTCCATGAACATATGTGTAGCGTGCAATCTCGCGATGCTAATAAACCTGCATGCAAAGCCCTGCACAACCGGACCTGTGTAATCTCATTGAACTCTGGCGGAGCGCCCCAACCCACGCTGATAAACCTGCCTGCAACACCCTGTAAATCCGGGTTTGCACAATCATATCGAACTCTAGCACCCCAACACGTGCTGGTAAACCTGTGTGCAAAACTGGGATCCACTTACTGCTAATATAGATTACTATAATAACACTATCGTATGTACAATCTATCGATGTAAAATCGCTAGATTGCTCATATCGGTAACACATGTTCGCAATTCTGACTACCAGTATGGCCGGCGGCACGGGATTGTAGGTAATATTGCTATTTTTAGTGCAAGTCGCGGAACCCTCTATAGATATTTATTATATTTACGCCAAGAAACGGCCCTGTACTCTGGTCGACAAACTTTGGCCCTAATTTAGAAGACATGTCCCACAATACTTCATGTCTATTGTCTACAATACAATACACAATGGGTCATGTCTTCTAACCTAGCTACTAGCCCTGCACTTGCCAAGTGACTTAATTGGGTCGTTTCAATAATAAAATGATAGCAAAAAACAATATGTATTTACTACAAAACCTTACCTCCTTTTCCTATTATTAGTATTAAATAACCTCGTAAATATAGTCTTCACAGTCCAAGGGACTATATCGAAGACCGAAAACACAAGTTAAAAATAGATGACGACTTTGGATCAAGGATAGTTTGGCACCCCCACAATATGTTTTTGCATATTAGAGCCTATATGATATGTCTCATTTGGATGGACTATTACTAGGTTCATTCAGTTCATCTTTAATTTGTGTCTGTGGTATTTTTCAGGGCTGTAGATCTTGACTGGATTGTCTTCAGGGTTGGACTTTTATCAGTCCTATACTCAAAGTATAAGAAAGGTAACTGTATAGTTGTAAACAGGAATGATGATATAAATTCAAACTTGTGTTGTAACCGGAATAATCTTTAATAACTCATACAGTGTAGACACATCGCACAAAGAGACAAAGAACGCGCAAACGCACATACGTGCGTGTGCCTCCTTCCGCGACCAGAACCAGAATCCCCTACTCTTACATCTCTCTTCTATATATTCCCCCCAAAACTCATACAAACATCTTGCACGCACATGTAACCGTTCTCACAGACCGCGTCCTACCCCCATTTCACAACCTAACCTAAAACCCGCTTATCCAACTCCCTGTAACATCAATGCAGCCGCCCAATATGCGCGACGCTGCGTCTATACAGACTAAATGGTCACCAAACAACCCTAGTCTAGCCTCGCTGACTAATTCATGTAACACGTGCAAAACACATGTTACATAATATGGTCACTGAAATACGTCACCTAAAGATCAAACGACACTGCAGCGGCAACGATCAATTATAATGTTCGGCATCAAAGTCACATCGACTGGCCACTGACATTAGGTCAAAGTTCGTCTCCTTTCTTGCTGCACAATGGCGGACATTTCAAGTTTGTAAACTTAAGACTCAGGCCATTGGCATTGCAATAACACGTGTGACCGTTATTGTTGGATGCAGCTACAGTTGGTGTAATGATCACTGCATCACATAACCCGGAACCAGACAATGGTGTCAAGGTTGTAGGACCCATGGGTGAAATGATGGAAGGTTCCTGGGAGCTGAGTGCCACAGAGCTCATCAATTCAAGGTATGCGAATTGTTTGTATCGTGTACTGTGAGTGTACGTTTCTTCATGGTTGAAGTATGCAGTGTGCTTGCAGTAATGTGTTACATCGAGTCAAGCTGAGCATGACCTGAGATGAAGGTCTAATGTGAATTTCGGCATTGAGTATTTTTTTTCTTATAGAAAACCATCAATGATTTCTAGCTGTAGACCAGTTACTCTACAATACATGTGCAAACAAACGCTTGATACAGAAATTGATCTAAAAAATTTTAAACTATTTTCAAAATGGTCCTTTATGTTTATTGGCACTTTAGATTGAGGAACAGTTGCTGATTATTTTGCTGCTGAAAAATATTTATGCAATCAATGTTATACGTGACACTGGATAAAAATGTATAGCATTTGACAATATAGGACATCAGTAATTTACTGGTTAATTATGCACATCAGAATTCAATGCTCAGATTTGAAAAGTCAGAACTATGTACTGGATGTGGTGGCTTTAAATGTGTAATATGATAGCAGGCTTCTCCCTACGTTGCGCAAACCGGGCGCGCCCGCCCCGTTTGGGAAAACTCCCCCCCCCCCCCGTTTCAATCGTTGCGCCACGTTTAAATTATTTCCGCCCCGATTAAAAAAAAAAATTTTTAATGGGAATGGCTACATGAGGAACAGGCTGAGTGAGTCAGCTTTGGAGGCGCTGCTGCTACTGGCAATTGAGGGGCCACCTCGGCAAGAATTCCCATTCGACCCACTGGCAGCAAGAACAAGTCCGCACCTGCAGCTACAGCACACACGCATCTATTGACTATATATAACAACGTTATATATAGTTGTTATAGTAGTTATATATAACTATATATAATGTTGTTATATATATAATATAGTCAATAGATGCATGTGTGTTGTAGCTGCAGGTGCGGACTTGTTCTTGCTGCCAGTGATTCGACCAGGCACCCGGACCCCCCTAGTTTCCCCTCCCCCTCCCCCTGTTTCAATTTCATCCTGGGGAGAACCCTGGATAGAGAATGTCACACACATCTTTTGCACATCTAGGGATGAGGACCTAGAGTTAACATTGCAGCAGACTATCAATAACTTTTGCATTGATGCAACCTGGCCAGCTAGTGTTTATTTTGCCAGAGACACAAGGTGAGTATTTACTGGAAAACATACATTCCTGCCATCTCATTAAATGATAAATCATTTAGAGTACATACGTTTGAAGCACAGCATTATTTTGTTCCACGTTGAACCAATGGGTGGCAGCACTGTGGTATTCCAGTTATATTTCTATAGAATATTTACTACAATAATTATTTCCAATTACAGTTGGTGATTATGCCAGTAAATGCATAATATGCAATAATCAAATACTGCACATGTTTGATAGTGATTATATGTAAATCTAGCTCAATTTGAAGATTTGCTTTTGTAATTAGAAACTAAAAGGGATTATAGGAATGCAAAGTTCATCTTCTACAACCATGTAAGTTTACAGTTTTTAAACATTGAACACAACCATAATGTTTTTAAGTGCCTTGATTTCGTTTCACTAGACCGAGCAGCCCAATGTTAGCAGAGGCACTTTGCAAAGCATTGGAGATGTTTCATTGCACAGTTAAGGATTATGGCAAGTATAATTGATGCCTTATAGTTGTTGAGTATTATCCCCATCAGAGGGCAGCATCTCAGTGACTCCTGTTTGCAAATATGTTTAAGTTTTAGAATCTGTTTTTTAACACATTTCTTATTGCCTCAAGTTTGGAATATGAATTGTAAACCTTATTGAAGGATTTCCTAATTCTATGAATGTGATATTGCTCGCATAATTATATAATATATGTTGTAATGAGGATCTACAACTATAATTGTTATAAAAACGTTCTTCCAAAGTTTTTTTAATTATTATTATAAAGTTTACGATAAGTTTCTTTGTAGGCATTCTGTCAACACCCCAGTTACACTACATGGTGCGCTGCGACAACACCCATGGCAGTTATGGTGTTCCCACAGAGGCTGGTTACTATGAAAAGCTTAGTAAAGCTTTCCTGGCCATCATGCAACCAGTGAGTCACTGTATTCATGTTTGTACGCATGAATACAGTACGCAGTACTGTGCCTTCCTGCTCTTCTACACTAGTTTGTTGTGCAAAATTCGAGATAGTACCCATATGTCTTGCCTTAAATGTGTACCAGGCTGTATACTCTAGTCTAATAACATCGGTGACACTATGGGGACGAATTACCTAAGCTTACCAACTTAAGCAATACTACTCATTAATTATTATCATCTTACCTTAATACACATAAGGAATCGAATAAAGGCCAATATATTGCCAGCGTGATGATAGATGGAGCCAATGGTGTTGGTGCTTTAAAGGCAGCAGATATTTCCAAGTATCTAAAGCATTCACTCAGCATGTCAATATTCAATGATGGATCACATGGAAAGCTGAATTATAAGGTAATCTATAAATAATTACACATAATAGTACATGATAACTAATGCATTATTTTGCAACTGGACCTAGCATTTTTAGTTCATCTGACATAGTCAGATGCAGCTTGTAGAATCGCATGAGCGTGCATCTGTACGTACGTCCGTCCGTCTGTGCGTCAACAGTTGGGCACAAATCTTAACCGCTTGATGTACTGTCACGATATTCGGGACGTTGGGGGGGGATCGTCAAAACGAGTTGGGATGTCGAAGCTGGAGGTCAAAGGTCAAGAGGTGTAAAAGAAGGGGGAACATTCCCTCCTTAACTTAAGGTATAGGGAGGAAATGCAGAATTGCGGCACAAATCTAAATGGCTCGACCTAGGCTCGTGATAGTCGGTGTATAGCATCATGGTAGGAAAAGCCATCACTGTGCCAAAATTGGAGGTTACAGGTGAAAGGTCAATGGGGCACAGGGCAGATTTTAGACATTTTCTGAGGACATGGTCTGACGGAGCGATTCAAAAAAAATTTCGTTTCAGCGGTGACCTACCATTTTTATTGAAAGGACCATGAAATGTACTTTCCGCTGACATGCGAAGAGTAAGTGTCGGATAACCTTTTGACCCTCAAGAGGAGGGTTAAACATAGATTTGTTGACTGTTAACAAAGGACTGAACTGCTTTTGCTATTAGAGCACCCTTCCCCCTCCCCCCACCCTCCCCCACCACTACGCTCGCGCTCGACGCATATCCTTGATAACATGTTAATCTAGTGAAGTCATTAAAGTTACACAGCTGTATCTTTACTACTGTACTACTAGCAGGGGAAAAAATACACGGGGGCGGCGGGCGATTTCGCCCCCGAAATGCCAAAAAGAGCCCCCGAAAACATGATATCGGGGGCGACCCCAAAAGCAAAAGTCGCCCTGGAAATCGATTGTCCAGGTCGGTCCCGCGCCTTGCCGATCTCGCTCGCGGCAGCCGGTTCCACGGCGCGGTAGAATTCCTGGTACGGTGTGGCTGTCAAGTGTTTATCATTA